AAGGTGAAGTCAAAGTGACTGAAGAAGTTGATGATGACGAAGTGGAACCAGGTATCGATATTAAAGCAGAGCACGAGAAAGATCAAGATTTAAAGCCAATAATTGATTTTTTTAAAAGCAAATGATTCGAGCCCTGCTTGGGAGAAGGTGTCTAGTCTAAGCCTTGTGACAAAGCACTATTGGGCACAATGGGACCAGTTAAAGCTTGAAGATGGTATTCTTCTCCAGAGATGGGAAAGTGACGACCTGGCAAACGGTTATACCGAGAAAGTTATGGGAAGTTGTGCTGCGTCAATCCCATGATACTTTAACAGGAGGACATCTCAAAATTAAGAAGACATTGAGTCACCTACGACAAAGATTTTACTGGATAGGTATGAGGAGAGATGTGGAAGAATGATGCAGTACATGTAGTGCTAAAAGGGAACCCAAGCATAAGGGACGCCCACCTTATGAAGAGTTGCCTGTGAATATGTCAGAGTTTGTGGAAGTGTTATCGGAAAGGATGGATGATATTCACCATCAAGTGCATTCAAACTTGAAAATGTCTGCTGATTCGATGAAGCTATCTTATGATTAGGAGACTTCCCTTTGGTCTTCCTGGGATTATACAACCACACCTTGTCTCCTGGTTCAAAGCTGACTTCAATAAGTTATTACAAGAGTCAAGCCAATTACTTTATTTTAATGATTTGCTTTATTTGTGCATTTATACTGTTTATCTTAGTTTTGAGGGCGGGATCTCGTGAAATGTAGTTGTTACGTATCTGGTCGTCTGATAATTTTCCGTAAAAATTCTTTAAGAGAAACTTTAACGATACAACTCCTTTCTTAATTAAAACTAATTTATCATTTCTCGATACAACTTTATAATACACAGAATTTCCACAGTCACATTAACTTAAACACACGCTATACTTCACAACGATTCACGCACATTACTTACGGTCACTACCGCTCACTTGACTCAATTATCTGTCTTTATCTCCAATTATATCTGCGCTTTAATTGCCGGGCTTATATACTAAAATAGAGGGCGTCTAGAAAAGACTAGAGTTGCCAGGAACAGTCATGATCCTTCTAGAAACTCCAGCGTGCATGCTTCCAGAATCACGTGACTTCCACTGTCGTAACACTGCCCCTTCCTAGTATTGTTCGTCCCAAACAATACCACTTACATTAAACCAATAGATAATTAACAATAACTTAATTAAATGTACTAAATTTACAAACACAAAATTAAAATTCACCAAAGTCTCCTAATTTTACAGGACGTATCTTCTTCCGTACTGGCCTCCACCTCGTTCGCTTCCGCTTCACGTGGGGTTCATCTGCTCCATCAGGAAATGCCCTATTATTGGTAACAGTCACATCAGTGGTTGTAACTTCATCAAGGGCTTCACTCTTTCCTTTCTCAAAACTGGGTAGAGTTTCTTCTTCAACAATGGCTTTTTCAGGTGACACGTCTTCAGCAGCATCATTTGTTCCATTATTCATTTTGTTCCAACTGAAATGTCCTGGACCGTGATAATGACAAAGCCTGTTTGGCATGCACCACCTTTGGCTTACCTCGCCGACCACATTTTATTCGGAAAGTCACGTCTGAGAGATGATCCACTATGTCGTATGGGCCTTCCCATGGAGAAGACAATAAAACTCATAAAGTAATCCTAAAGATTTTTTTGGGAAAAAATAAATCTCTATCATCTAACAAAAACAACAATTATCTATTTCACCCAATAATACAACAACGTTTCAGCTAAAACAGATTCCAACAAAGCTAACATACTGGCTGATTATTACGAAACTTCCTTTGGTAATCTAAATTCTCTGAATTTTGATATCCAGCACCATACTAAAGTAAACGACTACGTTAATTCGAACCCCTCACTTTTCACTCCATGCTTCCCAGTGAACAACATAAGCGAAAACCTGACGACCAACCAACACAATCTGATAAACAGAAAAGTTACCATGACAGAACTGAAAATCAACATAAAAACCCTTAAAAATCAGCCCCCGGAAATGATGGAATTAGAAATATTGTCTTGAAAACAGCTTCAAAGTTATTACCACTTCATTTAACTAACATTATAGACCTATCTCTATTAAGTGATTACTATCGGGACACTTGGAAACACGCAATAATTACAGTAATACCAAAAAAACAAAACAAATTAAACCCAGATAATTTCTGCCCTATTAGTTTGTTAAACTGTCTTAACAAGCTAATGGATAAAATTATATCAAACAGACTCCTATATTTTTGTGAAACAAATAATTTATTATCAGACACCCAAAACGCATCAAGGAAAAACAGATAAACAATAGATCACCTCACACGATTAACTGAATCAATATACAAACCTTTTAATAATAATCAGGCCACAATAGGTGTATTTTTAGATGTTAAAAAAGCATCTGACAGTTTCTAGCACATTGCCATAAATTATAAATTAAAAACTTAAATATTAATGAAACTCTAATCAGATAAATATCAAACTTTTAAACGGATAAATAAGTTAAAGTAAACGACATGCTATCCAAATCATTCAATATCACGGCAGGTGTGCCGCAATGATACGTCCTTTCGACTCTCCTATACATCTTATTTGTTAACAATATCTCGTTTCCCGAATTAACTTATATATATATATATATATATACCACTCTCAATATGCTGACGACATAGCAGTCTGGAGCATATCTAGAAATCCACTCATAACAGTGACATGTGTTCAAGAATCTCTAAATTCAGGCCTTAAATGGTGAGTTATATTAAATCCAACAAAAACACAAGCAATAGCATTTTTAAAAAACTTTGTAAACATAAGAAAACTATCAAGAACATTAAACTTAAGATAGAAGACACACAAATAAATATGAGTAATAACGTCAAATTCCTGGGAATAACCTTTTGATACCAGACTAACATGGAATAAACACATCCAGAACATACATGCTTTGATTAACAAACGCATGAATTACATAAGACAAACTGCAGATAAACACACAAACTGCACTCCCACAACAGCTCTAAATTATACAAAACATTTGTTCGTCTACTAATAAAATATGGATGCCAAATAACTTACAAAGTGCCAAAAATTACCTTATTGTTGCGTCAGCGAGGTCACGTGACTAGTATCACGCCACCTCTTTCTAGAAATATCCTGTTCCTTCAAGAATGCACTAGCATTTACTAGACATGTGTTAGTTTTGTATATATAAGACGTTCACCCACGTGACGGGACAAGAGGTAACGAGTAATTGAACTGCAGTCAGAGAGTGTGTAATTGAACTGAGTATTATTGAAGTCGAGCACGTGAGACGTTTGTTATAGCGCGACTGTTGAAATTAAGTGTATAGCAAAGTTATATTCAGAAAGAATAAACCAGTTTTATTAAGAAAGGACTTGTGTCGCTAAAGTTTCGTCGGAACGAAGTTACGGAAAATTAACTAACGAACGGAGACGTAACATTATAAAATTACAAATTCAACAAAACAGACTAATAAGATTATCTTAAGGCTTTCAAAATTCACCCCAGTAAAGTACTTACATAAAATCAGCAACATACCAAATTTAAAAGATAGACTAAGTAAACTAGCATTGAACTACTATAAAAAAGCGGAAAAAAGAAATATCTTGACTGCTGCACTTTATAAAATTTCAGGCGCTCCCACCAAACACATTTCACTATACAATCTGTTCTGGGAACAGCAAAACGAAGTATGAAACACTCACACAAAAGGTTGATTACCATGTCTAATCATCACATGTTACTTTACAGCCAGAGCACAGGACAGATAGATTATTCGGCGTCTGTGAAAGTGGGTTTTCTCCGGGCACTCTGGTTTCCCCCACATCAAAATTCAAAAGGGCATTGAACCTTATGGTTCCTGCCTTCTGAAGAGGACCTCAAACTCAATTCAATGTCATTTAAAATCAATATAATTTCAATCAAAATCATTCTATAAAACTATCCCAATAAAATATATTTAAAGTACAATGTAAGTTCTAAACCCACCCGCATTGCATGTCTGGATTTTTCTGCCTTGCCTCGTCAACTTCATCGCCTTTTCGACTCTACCACCACTGGACAAGAAGAATTACATCTTCCCTCAGCCGACCTTCTTCACAGCTTTTTTAAAAACTCAGGCTAGTGTTTTCAATTACGAATATAATCTCAATAACAAATTATTCTCACGCGTGGAATTGAAGGGGAACAACCGTTCCTGAGCACCCCAGTTGGGAAAGGCAGGCAAACCTATTGTTGCTTTCTCTTCTTTCAAAAGTTCAAACTAAATTACTGTCACGTTTCGTTTTTTTTTATTTTTTCTACTGTAACCAGAACGTTTCGTAAGGTGGACCTTTCTTCTTCAGGGTCAAGCTGGCACATGCATATATATATATATATATATTGACCAACTTTGTAGCGCGAAATTCCACAATTGTAAACTTTTTGTTCAATGCGCATGCGTGTAAAACATTTGGTAAAGACAGTGTATTAGAAGTAGGCTTAGGGTACTGCGTTTTTGGGATTAGTGTTATTTGGAAAGATACAAAATGTCTGCAACAGGAGTTGCACCTAAAAAGATAAAGAAAGCTGACGGTTCAAGTTCTACTGGAGATGCTGACGAAAACAGTAGAGATTTTGATCCAGAAACTCAAAAGTCGTTAGAGGATATCGACGCTTGCCAGAATGAAATTGATGTTTTGAATGAAAAAGCAAGTGAAGAAATTCTTAAAGTCGAACAAAAATATAATAAGTTAAGAAAACCCTTCTTTGAGAAAAGAAATGATTTAATTAAGAAGATACCAAAGTTCTGGGCGACCGCTGTATCCTTCGGGGTTTGTGGAGAGTATCTCAAATGCAAAATGTTTTTTTAACTTAACAAATAAAATATCGACTTGAAGTTGGAGTTCTTTTCTTTTGCATGTATTAGGCCTAAACTGATCAATAACGATAAGTTAAACCTTAGAATTTAGATAATTTTACTACACGTGTTAAGAACCTTTGTAAATTATATATCATAACTGTTAACTCTATTCAGAATCTGTAGTCTATTAATTTTTGTGTACAAGTTGTAGTTTTTGACAGTATTTTATACTTTATCATTTTTAAGCAATACATATTCAGGTTTAAAATATAAGGTGGCACCAATTTATTCTAACATTAAAAAAAAGGAAGAACATGTAGATGTATTTATGGTCTTATGATCCTCATGGAACCACAAAATTTACCTTTTTGACAATTTCATAGAATCTATGCAGAAATGTAGAACTAGAACACTTTTCCAGAATTACTGGGGTCAGCATAATGTCACAGTCATCTTATTTTGCCTGATAACATGATCACCATCTTGACAAAGGGGAAAATAATAGCAAAGCGAGTACAGTGATGACCCAAGTGCTTCAACAAAGCAGGAAGTCTTCCTGTGGTAAACTGCATAATTAATGCCACTTAATTCCTTAAAAACTGATGATGCAGCAGTGATATTCCACTTACACATAATGTGTACCTAGATAATATGAATTTTCAATATTTAACTTTATTTTTCTCAAAAGCAACATTTTCATGGTTTAAACATGATAACTCTACAATAATAAAATTGCTGCTTGAAATTTGGCACATAGCATCTTTGTGCTATTTCTCACAATATAGACTATTGAAAACTTCATCACCTGTTCCTTGGTTTTAGTAAATATAATTAATTATTAAGTAATCATTAACTACTTAATTATGTGAGATATGAGGGTTGTAACCATATTGATAGTCTATAATGTAGAACACATCCTTAAGCTATCCCTTAGATTTGATTATATTATCAGTATAAGGATAAGTTTTCTTTTCAATCATCGTAAATCCAGGCAGGGAGCAAGTGTTTATACATGTATCTTGTGTTGTTGTTGTCAATATGAAATGAATTTCTAAATGAGCTTTGTAAGTTCGTAAGTTCATCAGACAATATGAAAAGTTGTGTAAACAATCAAATTATGAAATGAATATAACTCCTTGTCCTTTTGTATTTCTGTTTGGTGATGTGTACAATTTGTTTTTCTCCACAAATATGCAAAATGAGTAGAAATGTGAGAGTATAGAAAGTGTAAGTGCTACAGAAGAAAGTACAGCCAAAGAACAGACATGAGGTGTACATGAATGTAGGTGTGATGAAAAAGTGAAGAGTATAGAGAGAGAATGAATCACATAACAAAACAAAAAAAGGTTTTTCTATTTATTTATAAAGCAATGACAACACTTATAGGACAAGTATGGCATAAAGTTAATAATAATAATTTATTTCAACAATTTCATGTAGTTCTACATTGTCAGAGGGTCAACCCTTAAGTTAAAGAGATTAGCTTGGTGACCATGTACTAAATACATGCATACAGTCAGAATGCACCAGTATAAACAAACATACAGTGTCTTACTATGTAGCATAGCAACTAAAAAAGAAAAATGATTCTGGAAAGAACAGGAAAGATTGGTTGATATTACTTCAACCCCAGTTGCAACAGTAATTCCATATCATTCTGAAGAACTGTACAAACTAGCATAGACATAACTCAAGTATATACAATGCCTTCACCAAAGTTTAAGGGTGTAGCACAGACTCTAACAATCTTATAACAATGCTTACCAAATTTTTTCACAAAGTTCATCTAAAATTTGTTTCGTGCTTTGAATGGGTAGAGGACCTTGCAGAATCATATAATGCTTATTCAGCAGTGCTATTACACATTCAGTGTGAATTTGAACAGAAAATATTCAACTTGTTATTGGTACAATTTAAAACACAACAACTCTTCAATATAGTTGCAGGTTTGGAACAACAAAAGATTGTTACAAACGCAAATAGTTATTACGAATACAAGTCTAGAAGCAGGCAAGTGTATGGAATGAATGAGATTTTTCATACATCGTGCTATTAGTTTGCTTCTTTGCCTTGGTTGCTATGTGGACATTGCATTGTGTGAGGGCAACCCGGATGTCTGACCTCAAGGAAGTCAGATAGTGTAAAATTTTGAATAATTCTAATGGCAAAAGAAAACTATATTTTTGTTAAACTGGTCATAAAACATTAGTAATAGTATTATGCTTATTATGTTTTTAAACATGACATTCTTTATCTAGTTCCTTAGGGATTTTCAAGAATTAGAAGAGTGTGTACTAATAGTAATAGTATTCCAACCACACTACACTTGTCATATCCATAGCTGACAACATGTTTTGCTTAATCCAGAGCTCTTCAGGCTTGCTGGGATATAAATACAGTAGTGGTTGGAACATTGTACAAGTTATTTGTTACAACAACAACTGTTATAGTATAAGACCTAGTATTCATGTCTTATGTCAAGTATAGTTATAATTAAGCTTCTCCAGCTTGTAAAAGATGTTCACACCATGAGAACTATATTTTAGTTTGTATATTAGTATTTTAAGGAATAGCAATATAACCTTTTCTTATCAAGGATATAGTAAATTATAAAATTATTATTACAGTGCCAATGAGAATTAAGCTTGTATTGTTATAATGTAGGAAACTTGTGAATGGTTAAGATCAGTAATAAAGAACTCATATAATGAATATAGTACTATTCATGAAAATAGAGGATTGACTACATGATTTGTCTTGGTCACTGGTTGAGCTAATAATAACATAAGGCAATCTGTCAAAAGGCTGTTTCATGTGGAAAAAGGATAATAAGATATTAAAACCTATTATATTTGTATTTTTCAAACCAGATGAAATGCAGTACTTTACATCCATATACCTAACATAATGTTAAACCAAATTGACAATAACAGCACCAACTATTTCCTAACTTCATAAGTATTTTTTAGAATATTTAGTTTTAACAGATTTCCAGATTTAATAACTGGAATTTTTTTTTCCATACTGAGTAACAAAGCTCAGAAAAAGCTCTTATAAACCATAGATCAGTACAATTTTTAAAATGTTATGTGGTTAGAAAATAGTAATAAATAAAAATATGTGTCTTTAACATAATCAGAATAAAAATGTTACTTCGTTTTCTTTTTTGGCTGTTGGCCGTGTCTTCAGATCTCATTTATTGAGGCTGCCCAGTGATAGTTAAAAAACATAACAAAGAACGAAGGACCATGACTGTGTGATTTTTCTTTGTTAGGTGATTTTCCAAGTAAAATTTAAAGAAGATATGTATAATGACAAATCTTATATATTAAATATACATTGAGGTACACAAAAATTGGTACAATTTAATGCTTATACTGTTTCTGATCAGAAAAAAAAAAGTTAAGACTAAAAACTGGGATGATCTCAGTTTTATCAAGATGTCTGGCTGTACTTGCTCTCCTACCCTGAGGAAAGTAAACATTTTAATCAACCATTACTTTCAGGAAATCATCAGTCACTTTCTTAAACTCCTTTCAAGTGTGCTGGCCTCCATTAGTGGTGATGGCAACTAATTTTGTAAATCATTAACACTGAAAGGAAAATAAAACTGTCTAAACTGGAGTCTAGCCCATTTACAAATTTTAACTTGTGTCCTAACATTCTGTTACCTTCAGAATATAGGGCAAGCCCACCCACATTTTTTTTGTTGACAAACGTTTAACCAACAAGTATTTATTTTAGCTATATTGGTCTTTTCATAGCCATAACATATAATTACCTAAATCTGTTAAATATTACAGTTGGGAAAGGAACTTTTGCAGTAGAAAAATAAATTAAGAAAATTTTGACCAGTTTAAGCATGCTTGAATTCAGGCAAATCAACCTCTATTTTGGTTTTTATTCAGTGCCTGTATGATGTTTTTAAAATGGTACTAATGATATAATTTTCATGATTTGAGAATATCAGCAGTGCAGTTACTGGCTATGTGCAATTCCTTGAATGCTTTATACATGAACTTAGCCAGTCATTCTATAAACTATTGACAAGAATTGCCAAGGGTGGGATTGCATTATCAATAGTCAATGAAGTTATTTATTTGACTTCTCGGAGATATTTCTTGCCAATTGTCAGTAGGCACAATTAATCTGTAGAGATTGTTTTCTTAAAACTCATTATATATATATTTATTTATTTTTTTAATTTCATATTAGCATAAAATTAGTTTTTGGCAAAGTAATGAATAGTAGGGATAAATTGCATTACTTTTTGTGATTTAATGCATTGCAATACAAAAGTGCATTTTTTTAAGAATGAAAAAAATGAAACCATTATTTAATAAATGTTAACCTGGTGATCAGGTTTGACATCTCACGTATAAATTATCTTAGCAAGGGCTCAATGTAAATTGTTAAATTATCATTGATAGGTTATTGTACAAGAAGTGTATTTCCAAGGAGAATGAAAGTTTATTCTCTCAATGACTATAGATACATGTGTCGAGTTGTAACAAGGAAAGCTACAAATTTATTCTAAAAATATTTAAATAGTCTATTTCTGAGCTAGTCTCACACAGAAGTTACCTTTCTATTAGTTATTTCACTTTAATAATGGCTTTGGAACTATACAGTATTACTTCACGAGAGTTGTGTCCCTTAAAAAATGTCAGTTGAGCTGAAGAAGACTGATTTTGTCATGAACAAAATTCCCAAAAGCAAAGTTTGTAATCATTTTAAATAAAAAAAGATGGTTCTGTTGATAAGTCAACAAAATTACAAATGAAAAAAAATTTCAATAGGTATTGCATTATCCAAAAATTTGTATTACAATACATCGCAATACAATTTTTTGGCAAATACTTTGTCTAGGTGAACAGGTTGAGTGAGCCCTGATAATATAGCATAAAGAAATCAAAAGTCTTTATCCTATTGATCATCTCCAGATAATCTTGTAGGATTCAATAAGCACACTTTATACTATTCACTTATAATTTCTCAATGAAACTTGTGTTACGAGATACTAATCTATTCATGTAAGATGATATTTCCATCGCTGACATCATTTTAGTAACCCTCAGGACTCTGAACCGTTTTCAGTAAGTCAGTATCCTTTCTCAGATAAGGAGACCAAAACTTTACATTATACTACAAGTGAGGTCTAATAAGTGTTGTATATAGATACTTATATTTTTTTATTTCTAATCAGTATATTTATAAACCCACAGAAAATGTTATTAGCTCTACTACTAGTAATAGAGCACTACTTTGAAAGCTTGAATGATATACCCACTAATATGCCAAGATCCTTTTCTTAAGTTATGCTATTGAGTTGTTTCCCATGTATATCTGGGCAAGTTAATTGATTGCCAATGAGCAACAATTTTGTTGATTAATTTCATGAAAATAATCAACTAATTGAAATTAGTGTTTTCAGTTATTACTTTTCAATTATTTCAGTAATCAACTAATTAAAAGTATAATTAAATCACTTGTCATGCAAATGATCAACAAATTTAAAATAGTTGTACCAATTACAAACTTTCAATTATTCCAACAGTCATTTAATTGAAAATACAGTTAAATCACTTGCCATGCAAATAATTAACTAATTTAAAATAGTTTTACCATTTACTACTTTTTAATTTTCCAACAGTCATTTAATTGAAATTACAGTTAAATCATTTGTCACAAAAACAATCCACTAATAGAAACTAGGGTTTCTGATTTACTGTTTTTGATTATTCCAACTATCCAAGTAATTGAAACATTGCCATTATGTTTGGTTTTTGTTAAGAACAAAGCTACGTAACAGGGGAATTGCCTCAGGATTTGAGGCTCATTTCCCATTATCACTAAATTTGCTTGCCCAGTCTTTGTTATTGCAAAGCTACTATGACTGTTTGTCACTGTGACTAATTTTGAAGTGTTGGCTAGAGGTAGGGCAACTAACTACATCAACATTAAGATAAAGTGTAAATTTCCTTTTTTTTTTTACACTGTGTTATTTTTCTTTTTTATAATTGTGTAACAATATTCTTTAATGTTGTATTAGCAGGTATGGATCTAGGGAGAATATACCCCTCCATCTAGTTTTTCCCAGAAATTAATAACTGTGCTCTATAATGTTGTATAAACATATGCAGATGTATGGGTGGTGTACAGAGGACAGAACTCCATTTGTTTAGAAATAACTTATTCAGTATTGCATAAGCACAGGCATGAATCTAGGTGAGTGGGGTCCAGGTGGCTAGACTCTGTCCGTCAATTTCATTTAAGAAATTATTAAATGTTTTATTTAAGTTTTTACAATTAGGTGTAGATCTTTTTCCAAACCCATTATTTTTTCAGAAATTAATAAGAAAACAGCTAGATGTCTTAATATTATCACACAGTATCAAAAAGAAATATTAGATGTCATTGTTTTTATTGATTTGGGCTGTTAATTATCATAACATCTTTTTTTGAGATTTTCTGGAATCAGCACAGCTGGCATCTACAGCAGTCCCCTAAGGTTTCAGCCAGTAACATATTATTTCTAAATTAACAACTCAGATGGCATAAAGTTTGGATTTATAGGAAGTTAATAGTATATAAATGCATTTCATCAGATTGACCTGGCATCATCAGGTGATTTAATTAGAACTTCCTGGTCTACAGAGATGTTACAGATTGAGTTGTCTCAATGATTGGGAAATGTAAATGTTTTTCCTTTACTCAACTTTAGTTTGTCAATCATCCACAAATTTCAGCAATTTTGGACGAGGAGGAAGAAGATTGTTTAAGTTTTATGTGCAAACTAGAAGTGGAGGAGTTTGAAGACATCAAGTCTGGTTACAGAATCAAATTCTTCTTTGATGAAAATCCTTACTTTGAAAATAATGTTATTGTGAAAGAATTCCAACTGGGGTCATCAGGTATTTTCACTTTTAATTTTCATATTTTTTTACATTATTTTTTTATGTTAGGAAAGCAAATATTTTCATAAGTAATGTGAAAATAGTGAATTGCAGATTATGGTATCTGGATGTTAGTTTGATAATTTTGAATGATAAATTTCTGTAAGTATTTTTAATTTTTCATAAATATTTTCATAACAAGGGACAATTTGGTCTTTCAATACTCTCTTCACACCCACCTTGAGAAAACTAAAAAATGAAATCTACCCTTTAAAATTCAGCTCTCTCATTAAGTTAACTAATGACACCATACATTTAAGTGGTATGAACTTAAAATTAACCTGATATTAGTAAACAGAAACACTAATCAATGAAGAATGTGGGCAAATGTACTTAAAATGTAAGCTCATGTAATAGTAGTTTTACAATTGTACTCAAAATTTATTTGGCCCAATTAATTTTAAGGGTGTTAATAAAGTTTGCTTTCATGTTAAACATTTATACTTATTAATAAATTTTAAAGACAATTTATGATTCAAAATTATTTATAGTCCAGTGACACAAAATGACTACAAAAGTTTCAGTCAAAAAAAGGGGGGATTACCCAATGAGACCATGAGTCTGTATCACCTGAGAAGTCTCCAGGCGTGTTTTGATTTAATGTGGTTGATTGAACTGCTAAGAAACTCAAAATGCATGCACTTACCCCTTGAATGGTTTGAGTAAGAGGACTATGGAAGGTACAGTTGGATGAACTTATCATGGTGTACTTGTTTTTGGTCATTCTATTTAAAAAGTTCAGTGTGTATGTTAATTAATTTGCTTAAGATAATCAACATTTCAATATGTATTAGGCTGTGTTCAGATAAAATGCCATCCTCATGACTTTAATGGTCTGAGAACTGTTAATTATTAAGATTGTACTTGCCACAAATTTTACATATGAAGATACATTTTTATTTCTTTGCTTGCATGAGCAGTGGATGCAACTCTGTTACTAAGTTATAGTCACAGAGTTTTAATTTGGTAAGTGGTTTCCTTAAAATTTTTCATAAATCAATAGGGATTAAAAAAGTTGTCACATTTCAGAAATGCAAATATTAGAACTTACAAGTTTAATGCATGTATAAGGGTTATTTAATATGTATTAAAATAGAAATATCTAAAAGAATATGGTTTGCGTAACCTTTTCATTTCTACATGTTTATTGAAGGAAGAGAAAAATGAAAAACTTTGATTTTATTCAACTGTGAAATTGATATGGCTGCTGAAGCTAAGTTGTCTTGGAGTGGACAATAATGCTCTTTTCTGCAGTAGTATTACCACATTGGCAAAAGTATTGCATGATTATTAGTGGATTTATAACACACATTTTTAATAATGAAGAAACACAATTTGGGAAACTTTAATGTTATGGAATGGTAAAATAGTTTAATTTTACTGTTTTAAATAGAGAATTCAGTTTTTTGATACAGTGAGTTACTTTTTTTGCTACAGAATATGTTCAACTAAATATTAAGTTTTATTCAGCACAGTGTCCTTTCAAGCAAAATGTGTGATTAAGGAAAATTTAAAATTTCCTTACTACAGCTACTTAAGTAAGCACCTGAGTGAGTGGTTCTTTTTAGTATCATACATGCTGAAAAGAACATTCAATGAAACAATAAAAAATTCATAAATATGTGGTTTATTCTTAATTCTTCTACATTTTCCATTAGGTTACTCTAGATTTTACATTTCCCACTAAACCATAAATTACTGTGTAAACAGCTGTGTTTACATTGACATAAATAGTTCTATCCAGTCATAGTTAAACATTGCCTCTAGTTATTTTTACAGCTGTGCTTCATTAGTAAGTGTTCAAACAAATTGTGACTTATAAGGGTGGGAAATATGGCTGTTGTAAAATAGTAATAAAACCATCAGAAGAGAAGAAAAGTAATATGAGAAATAATACATTGATAATTGTATTCTCCAAGGATAATAGTTTTTTTTAAGAAGCATGATCCTATATTTTGGGATGGGCCAAAAAAAAATATCAATGAATGTGTTGTTTACAGGTGAAAATTCTTGGAACTGCGCAGAAATGAAAGTTGAAACATTTGTTTTTATTTTTCTTTGTAAGCTACATTAAATAGATTTTACAAAATGACAGAATATAATTTTAAAACAACTTTACTTAAAATTTGTTGAAATAGTTAGAATTTTTATTTTTTCTTAAATTTTTCGAATTTGATATGCACATTTGTAATTGACACCTGAAAAGTGCTCATTGGTCATGACAGAGGTAATGTCATATTACAATACTTATACTTCTGTAGTTCAAGTTTTACTTGTACTGTTCTTTTTAACTTGATTTTGACAATACAATGTTATTATATACATGAAAAACAATAAGTAAAGAAAACTGTGATTTTACCTTAAGTGATAAATATTAGTATGTCCAATGAAATTTAATAAAATTATATTTCATGGTTGATGAAATTCAGATTGTCAGAATGGTAACCTGGTCAAACGTGTTCTGCGAAGAAAATTATATTTATTTTCAGCCCTTCTTTATGTTTCAAGGTTAAAAGAGTGGAAGTTATGTACACACACACACACACACACACACACATATATAGGATTTTAGAAATTCCCAGGGAGAAGTTTACATACAATATTTTTTATCCACCCAAAAACACAATTTTTAGCAAATATTGTATTTCTTATTTCCGTTATAATCTTACTTCCATTCCAAATTCATCTACAAAGCATCTTAAGAAAATATTGATCTTATTTATCAAAAAATGTAAACTGTGGTGTCCTGTATGTACAAAGATTGTATTTTTTTTAGGCTACCGGAATTAATAGCCAACTTGGCTGTTGAGCTCTAATTCTGAGTAGCTAAACCAGTATCCGTCCTGTGATTGATCATCAAAAACAGTACAGTATAATTTTAAGTTTCTCTTATTACATTTACTTATCTAAAGTTTTGTTTAAACCACTTAAATTAACCCTTTCGAGACAGGTCATGGGTCAAAGACCATGTCATCATGTTTGTTGACTCGCATTCAAAATTTTATTGAACTACCATTTCATGAATTTATGTTTGGTATCAAAATGTATATTATAATTGAAATTTTAGTATTATACATTATTAAATTTCTTGATTTCAAAGTAAATATTAAAAAAACACAGTTAAACATAAATTTTTATGTGTCACCTGGTATGTTGAATGCAGCACTGGTTCAAATCAGATGTTTGTGTTTCCAAAATACTAAGTCTATAGTTTCGTATGAATTAGGAACTCAAATTACCGATATTGACAAGCTAGAATATAAAATAAGAACCTCATATCTTTCTATTTGCTGAGATATAGCTCATGTACTGAATCAAATACAATGGCCCCACTCACCTCTTTCCATTTTTGGAAACTGTATTTTATATACACTTACTTCAATATATTACATGGTAATAGCCAATACAAAGCATAGAATGTCCCCCTAGCGGCTTTCTCAGCCAATCTCAAGTGTTAGGACACCATCTCATTCTTTCGAACCAGGATTTCAAGGAGGTAGGTTGTCTTTATTTTGCTCAGAATTTCATATTTTTTTAGACCAAAATACAGCTTCGTTACTAAGCTTGATAAATTATAGTGGGATTCTGTGATTTCAATATAGTAATGTATGATTTTTTGGTTATTCAACTGTATGGTTAAAAACTGGGATACAAGTATTAATTTGTTTTATAAATTAACAATATTCTACTGAAGGAAACTTACTTGACATTATATTTTAACAAAAACTTTCTGTATATTAATACATGTATTCATGTATCACTATAAGAGCAGCAGTGTTCTGAGTCATTGCTTTTTTTTATCTTGCTGTGCACTGTAACTGATATACGTCATCATTCACATAGAAAGGTGAGGAGCATCAGGAGTGGGAACAGTGGATGAAATAATTGTTTTTTTGTTATGTCTAAGGCATGTCTTATGCACTGGTAGAAGTAAATATTTGTTCTTTGATTGTTTTTTGTAAACCTCTAGGAGTCTGTTGCTATTATGGATTTTTTGTGCCTTTCTTTGAAGATTTTGCTTTAGTTGGAGTTAATACTCTATAATAAATAGGAGCTCGTGAATTTGTAAAGAGAAATGGGTATTACTTATAGTAATTGTATTGTGAGTTTCTCACATGTTTCAACTGTCTTCTTATACACAAATTATTCAGTGTAAATATGTGGATAATCTGAAATAGAATAAGAGGTGGATATGCCACTTTGTAATGTTGATCCAGGTCATGTAAAATTAATTACATCTTAATCCATTTGCATTTTGAAATGTAAAATTAAAATGCATGACTAATTTTAAATTTATCATTCACAACTTAAGTGAAGAATTAAAAACTGCAGGTTAGTACACATCTGTTGGTTTTATGTAGCTCCATGGTACAGGATTTCATGGTTATGTTCCAGCTGTGAATAACAGTGACTGCTGTCATCATGGTTTGAGAATCCTTGTTGAGTTGAAGAAATAACAGAAACTATAAATCCTGTTATTCATTGTTTGCTTTGAATACATTGATCCAGGTTTGAACTTTGAGGGCAACCTACATGTAGATAACACCATAGATACCATAGATAATGACTTCATTGTTTGAACACTGTGAAGAGTGGTGAGGTAGTATTATTGTGTGAGCACGTTTCTTTTGCTTGTAACAGTTAAGAAAACTATGAGCACTTTTTGTATTGTGGCATTCTTTGAAATGATGTATGGCATGCATTGGTATAAATTTGTAGGTAAGGACTTTACACTTTTGAGCATGATAATGCACCATGCCATACTACATGCCCTATTCATCAGATGTAAAAAGAAAATAATATCCAGAGTCTGAATTGGCCAACCTTGTGTCAAAGCTCCTCCTGATTGAACCACTCTTGAACATAGTAGAGCAGTCGTAAATGGCAGAAAGGACAAACCTGAAATCTCATTACATTGTTATTTCAAAATGCATATATAATACTTAAAAAAATTGTTT